TCTGAGTGTGATGGAGGGAGGAGGGCAGGCACAAGTAAAGGTGTTTGCAGGGAACTGGCTCAGTATTTGAGTTCTAAACCCCATCCATACAGGCTCTCATCTCAACCAATAGCTTTAGTTGGTGTCGTCTTCCCAATTTTGAAACACAAACCTTAAACAAGAGCATGGTATATATGACATGTGACTCCTCCCTCTCTTCTTCCTTTGGAAGCTTTGGGGTTTTTTTTTGTTGTTGTTGTTTAAAGATCCTATTTATTTGAGAGAGAGAGAGAGAGAGAGAGAGAAAGAGAGCACACACACATGCAGGGGGAGACGCAGAGGGAGAGGGAGAAGCAGGCTCCTCGCTGAGCAGAGACCCCCCACCCCAAGTGAGACTTGATCCTAGAACCCTGGGATCCTGACCTTAGCAGAGGGCAGATGCCTAACCAACTGAGCCCCCCAGGCATCCCTGGAAGCTTTTTTTTTTAAGGTGGAGAAAAGGGGCAAGAGACTCTTCGCCTGTAACATTTAAAAGTTATGTTAAAGAGATAGTATATTATCTTTGAAGAACAAATACAAAATACAATTTCAGATAAAAACGAAGAGAGCTTATTATTATTGGACTGCACCACAAGGAAATTCTTCAGGCTGAAGGGGATTACTCTCTGATGGGAATTTGAGTCTTTAGGTGAAGGAAGAACACTGGGATTGATAACTATGGATAAATATAAAAGCCTATCTTTTTTCTTTAATTTATTTAAAAAGCATTTAGCCATTTCAAGCAAAATAATTTTGTAATGGTATCTTTCCATTTATCGCTCCAGTAATATGTAATGCAATATATGTTAAGTAATGTTATGTAATGTAATATATATTTTATGTTATGTAATATATATGTCATATATGTGGTTATAACATAAAGAATGGGCTTGCTAGTGGCACAATACAGTTGCGAAGTTATTACATTTTACAAGGAGCAGAGTAATATTCACCCTAGGTGGACTCTGAAAAGTTAAGGGTATATACTGAAATCCTTAGAGCCACAATACTTTAAGTGTGATACAGAGACTTTGGGGGTTCCTGGAAACCCATTCAGGAGCACTGTGAGTGCCTTATTTTGCCAACATGTATGTTTATAAGCTGCATCCTACTTCCTGTATGCCAACCAAAACAGCCTGTCACAACCGATTGAATGCAGAAGTCATTATGAGTCTCCACCTGTCTTCTATTAAGCCAGACCTTAAAGAGATTTCCAAAACCATAAAACAGTGCCTCTCTGCGAAGCCTTTAAAAAATATTTTAAAAATATATATTTTTCATAAAAACATCTTGTTCATGTTAACATGAACATATTCAAATATTTAAAAAAATTTTCAGTTTCATATCATATATCTGTATATCTCTATCTCTCCCCCATAAAAGGTCTTTGGGGATCTTCAGTACGTGTTAGGAGTATAAAGGGTCCTGAAACCAAAATGCTTGTGAATGGCTGTAATGGAGCAAACACTGGAAAATAAAGCAGTGTGCAGCGTTATTCACAATAGCCAAAAGGTGAAAACAATCCAAATTTTGGGGGCGGGGGGGAGAAAAGGACTAGATAAAAAAAAATATGGTGTATCCATACAATGGATATACTGCTCTGTCTTAGAAATAAATGAATACACGATTCCATGCGGATGATCCTGGAAAACATTATGCTAATTGAAAGCCTCCGAACATAAAGGGCCACATACTGAATGATTCTGTTTATATGCAATGTTCACCGTAGGCAAATCCAGAGAGACCATGCAGACTGGTGGTGGCCAGGTTTTGAGGAAGGGGAGAATAGGGAGTGACTGCCTCATGGGTATAGAGTTTTATTTTGGGAAGATGGAAATGTTTTAGAACTGGATAGAAGTCCTGGTTTACGACATTGTGAAGGCACTGAATTGAACATTTATTCATTCATTCATTTATTTATTTTTAAGATTTTATTTATTTATTTGTCAGAGAGCACAAGCAGGCAGAGTGGCAGGCAGAGGCAGAGAAAGAAGCAGGCTCCCCAACTAGCAAGGAGCCCAATGCGGGACTCGATATTAGGACCCTGGGATCATGACCAGAGCAGAAGGCAGCTGCTTAACCGACTGAGCTACCCAGGCATCCCTGAATTGAACATTTAAATGGGTTAACTTTATGTGATGTAAATTTCACTTCAATTACCAAGAGAAGTTACAAAATATAGTTAAAAAGTCAATGGAGGGGCGCCTGGGTGGCTCAGAGGGTTAAAGCCTCTGCCTCGGGCTCAGGTCATGATCCCGGGGTCCTGGGATTGAGCCCTGCATCGGGCTCTCTCCTTGGTGGGGAGCCTGCTTCCTCCTCTCTCTCTCTGCCTGCCTCTCTGCCTACTTGTGATCTCTCTCTGTCGAATAAATAAATAAAATCTTAAAAAAAAAAAAAAGTCAATGGAGGGGGCACCTGGTGGCTCAGTCTGTTAAGTGTCTGCCTTTGGTTCAGGTCATGATCCTAGGGTCCTGGGATTGAGTTCTGCATCGGGCTCCCTGCTCATCGGGAAGTGTGCTTCTCCCTCTCCCCTCTCCTCCTGCTCTCTCTCTCTCAAATAAATAAATAAATTTAAAAGAAAAGAAGGTATCAAAAAAAAAAAGCCAATGGAGAAGTGAAAATGGAATTATAAAATGTAGTTCAATCCAAAGAAACAGGAAAGGAGGGCTAAAGGAACAAAAAACATGCAGGACAAACAGAAAACAAATAGAATCGTGGACCTAAATCCAGCCACATCAAGAATGACATCATCTTAAGATATAGTAATTCCTCTTCTAGGCATTTAACCAAAAGAAATGAAAACACGTATTTTCAAAAACACTGTACATGGATGTTTATAACAGCTTCATTTGTAATAACCAAAAACTTGGAACAGTCCAAGTGTCCACCAACAGGAGAACTGTGGTGTATACATATGTTGAAATACAACTTAGTTGTGTGAAAGAACACACTACTGCTGTACATGGACGGACATACCCATATACGATATGGACAAATCTCAGAATCATGCTGAGGAGGGGCACCTGGGTGGCTCAGGCGTTAAGCATCTGCCTTCTGCTCAAGTCCTGATCCCGGCGGGGGTCCTGGAATGGAGCCCCGCATTGGGCTCCCTGCTCCCTGCTCGGTGGGAAGCCTGCTTCTCCCTCCCCCACTCCCCCACTCATGTTCCCTCTCTTGCTGTCTCTCTGTCAAATAAATAAAATGTCTTACAAAAAAAAACCATGCTGAGTAAACGAAGCTTTATCCAGAAGAATATATACTGATGATTCCAATTTTATAAAGTTCTAGAACAGGAAAAACACATCTGGGTTTTTTTCCTTAAGTAGGTTCCAGAGTGGAGCCCAACACAGGGCCTGAACTCAGGACCCTGACATCAAGACCTGAGCTGAGATCAAGAGTCAGATGCTTAAGGGGACCTGTGTGGCTCAGTTCTAAAGCGTCTGCCTTCAGCTCAGGTCATAATCTCATGGTCTTGGGATCAAGCCCCCTAGGGATCTCCCTGCTTAGCGGGGAGCCTGCTTCTCCCTCTCCTTCCACCCCTCTCTTCTGCGTGCTTACACCTTCTCCCTCTCTCCCTCTCAAATAAATAAAATCTTTAAAAAAAGAGAGTGAGACGCTACCCAGGCGCCTCAAATGCATCAGTTTTTAAAATCTGATTTCTAAAATCCGTTTTTTAATTTTTTAATTTTATTTAATTTTATTTTTTTATAAAGATTTTATTTATTCATTTGACAGACAGAGATCACAAGTAGGCAGAGAGGCAGGCAAAGAGCGAGGAAGGGAAGCAGGCTCCCTGCTGAACAAAGAAGCCCGATTCGGGGCTCGATCCCAGGACTCTGAGACCATGACCCGAGCCAAAGGCAGAGGCTTTAACCCATTGAGCCACCCAGGCACGCCTAAAATCTGTTTTTTTTTAAAATGTGGGGGCACTCAAAGGAACTTTCTAGGAGATGGAAATGGTCTTTCGTCATAGGTGTTGGGTTACACCGTTGTATGTCTTTGTCAAAACTCGTTTCAAAAGTTTTCATATGCTATTTTCCCACTTTTTAATGCAGTGAAAAAACACAGCAAAATGTACCATCGTAACCATTTTTACATGTACAGTTCAGTGGTGTTAAGGACATTCGTGTTGTGCAACCACCCATCTTCAGAATTCTTCATCTTACAAAACTAAAACTTTTCCCATTTAAACAGTAACTCCCCATTCCCTCCAGCCCCTGGCAACTGCCATTCCACTTGCTTCCTGTATGAATTTGACTGCTCCAAGTGTCCCACACCAGTAGACTCACACAGAATTTGTCTTTGTGTTTAGCTTATTTAATTTAGCATAACGTCCTCGAGGTTCATCCAGGTTGCAGCACGTGTCAGAATTTCCTTCCTTTTAAGGATAATGTATGTATAATGTATGAATAATGTATGTCCACTGTATGTATAGCCCACATTTTCTTTATCCACTGGACGCTGGGATTGCTTTCACGTTTTAGCCATTATGACTAACGCTGCTATCAACACGGGTGTACAGGTATCTTTGTCACCCTGCTTCAATTCTTTTGGGTACATACCCAGAAGTGGAATTGTTGGATCATACGGTATTTCTATTCCTAATTAGTTTTCCACAGTGGTTGCTCTACATTCTATTTTTTTAAAGGATTTTATTCATTCATCCGACGCAGAGAGAGAGACACACACACACACACAAAGTGAGAGAGGGAATGTAAGCAGGGGGTGTTAAAGGGGGAGAAGCAGGCTCACCACTGAGCAGGGAGCCCCATGTGGGACTCGATCCCAGGACCCCGGGATCATGACCTGAGCTGAAGGCTGATGCTCAACCCACTGAGCCACCCAGGCACCCCGGTTGCTGTACCTTTCTATCAACACTACACCAGGGGCCCCATCCTCTTAACACTTCTTATTTTGTATTTTTCTCATAGTAGCCATCCTAATGGATGTAGGGTATCATCACAGTATGTAATTTTTTTTTTTAATACATGGAACACTTCACAAATTTGCATGTGATCCTTGTGCAAGGGCTATGCTAATCTTTATCGTGTTAGTTTTAGTACATATGCTACTGAAAGGAGCACACAGTATATGATTAAAAAAAACAAAACACTAAACATACAATAAGGGTTGAACTCTTAATTTTTTTTATTATTTAATATTTCTTAGAGCTAGAGAGAGAGCCAGGGTTGAGGGGAGGGGCAGAGAGAGGGGGAGAGAGAAAATCTTAAGCAGGTTCCACGCTTGGTGTGGAATCCAACATGGGGTGGGGCTCCATCTCAGGACCATGAGATCATGACTTGAGCCGAAATCAGGAGTCTGGTGCTTAACTGATGGAGATACCCAGGCACCCCATGAACTATTTTTGATAGCAAGAGTGAAGGGTAGAAAAGGCTTAAGAAAAAACCCTGAATAGGTTGAGTCTAGTTGATAAGTCTGCCAAAGTGTTTAGGAATTGGGTGGAGTGTCCTGATATTTGTAACTTACTTTGAATAGCATCAGAAGTAGAATGGATTCACTGATGGATGGGACAGATGAGTGGTATGGGGATAGGGCAAATACGGAGAAATGTTAACAGTTGTAGAATCTAGGTGGTGAGGAGATGAGTGCTTACTGTATCATTCTTTCAACTTCTCTTTGTATTTGAAGTTTTCGTGATCTTTTTCTTGGGGGAAATTTTATTTGTCTGTGGAAAGGTTTGCTGTGAAGGAGTCAGAGTCCTTTAATGAGTGGGGCCCCGAGAGGCTGAGAGGACCCCTCTAACCATGCAGAGGCCTCAGGGGGAAAATGTCAGGGATCAACTGGCCTGGAGCTAGAACCCTGGAGGCTCGTAGGTGCTGGGGTGGGACAGGAAAGAGTAAAAGGATCAAGGGCACCAAGTATGGAGAGTGAGAAAAGAAGGAGGGCAATTAGAGTCTACCTTTGAAGGTCAAGGTAGATTACATGTATTACTTACTGGTGTCCCTGTTGTCTTAGGCACTTAATGCTCAAGAGAGCCGAAATAGCAGTGGGGGCTAGTGAAATTCATCTGGCAACTTGGGCAGGATTTCCAAATGGCAAGAAAGTACCAGGGCTCAGGGTTAGGTTCTCAAGATTGCGAATCCAGAAATGAAAACATCTGAGTGTTCCCCACCCCGCATGTGCCCAGATCCTGCTATGCCCCTTCTCAGGAAGTTACTAACAAACCAGAATGGTGAGATCTGAAACTGCCAAGTCGATCAGATGCTTGGGGCAAGTGGCCATTGCATTTTCTCTCCTGTGGGCTTGAGAAACAAATATCTTCAGAAGCCTGCTTAATGAGCAGAGCAGCATAGCAAGGGGAATGAGTACGGTGATGGGTTAGTGGCTGACACTGTCTTAAGCTGGTTGGATACAGGCCTGGAATATTTGCCTTGGCCAGACCTAGCACACTCTCCCCTGCACAGGGCTGGAGACATTCTCACATTCTTGACCCGTGATCTTCTCCGTTCTAGACACTACATTTCTTCCATTAACAGATTTTTTTTTCTTTCACGTGACACAACGGATTAGGTTGTGACATCTGAAGTCAGTTATCCTCTGGGTATTTTCAATGACGTCTTAACCACACCCTGGCATGCCGGAGTCAGAGGTACATAAAGTAACCGATGGCTGAGGGGTGGGAGGTGCTAAGAAAGGAGAAAGGGTGATTGTAGAGACAGATAGCCACTCCAGTACCCAGACTATTTAAGTCAAACCCTTTTCAGAGTTTATGGTCTCTGTGGCTTCTGTTTGGATTTTAATCCTGTGAGTTTTCAATGCCTCCCACTTATCCTTCCCAGCTGGTACATGGAACCATTTTTGATGCTTTGGAAAGCAGCATTTTTCTGTAACATTCTATTCCTACAGTGCATCTTTGGTTTGAGCTAAATCAAGTATCCACTTATCACTAACGCTGAGTCTGATGGGATTTTCTCTCACCATCCCAGCTGCAACTCCTAAAAGAGCAGACTTTACCTGACGGGCAGATAGAACAAGGCGCATCGTCACGATCTTGGCTAACTGAGGTGTTGTAGGCGTCCGTCAAGACTGGTGTCAAAACACTTCATTGTGTGTAATTAAAAAAAACACACACTGAACCAATATTGAGTCTAGTCGCTGACATGCATGCTGAACTGTTTAGGGGGGTAAAGTCTTCTGATATTTGTAACGGATTGTGAAATGCATCCGAAATAGGCTGGATTTAGAGATCTTCATTTTAAACAGTGGGGAAACAGACACAGAGCTTGTAGGCCACGTGTTAATGGAGCAACATCCCTTACTGATTTGTATGTGAAGAATAGTATTTGTTAGCTTTTTTCTATTTCAGAAGTGCATATGTATTGTAAGAAACTTTCATTGAAGTGTGGTTGTGAATGATGAGGTTGTGTTGGGTGGGAAACCACCTTTCCGTTGTGGGCCAGAGATACTCTGGTGCTACAAGGGGCTAGAAGTCAGGGGAAGGTGTTACCTAACAAACATAACAAACATTCAGCTGCAGAAATTTGGAAGATTTTTTTTTTTAAGATTTTACTTATTTATTTGACAGACAGAGATCACAAGTAGGCAGAGAGGAAGACAGAGAGAGAGGGGGAAGCAGGCTCCCTGCTGAGCAGAGAGTCCAATGCGGAACTCGATCCCAGGACCCTGAGATCATGACCTGAGCTGAAGGCAGAGGCTTAACCCACTGAGCCACCCAGGTGCCCCAGAAATTTGGAAGATTTAATTGGCTGGTGTTCCCTCTCTCGCTGTGTCTCTCTCTGTCAAATAAATAAAATCTTTAAAAAAAAAAACACGATTTAATTGGCTTTATTAAGCGATTCATAAGTCAGACAGCAACTCATCTAGCAAGTAGGGGAGAGCTCCGAAGGGCCCCAGAAAAGGAAATGTTTTTAAAGGTAGAGAGGGAGCAGAAAATAAAAGGAAATTATCAGCAAAGGATCCATTGTTTTAGGCAAGGTCGCATTCCTAAGGGGAACTCAAGGGGTCTATCAGTAAATTTCTTAGGGCTGCCCAGGAAATTCCTGTGTTATACTGGTGAGAGGTCACATTTCTGGGGGGTTGAGCCTGCAGTTAGGTTGGGTAAGAAGTCTGGGTTTACTGACTTGGAGCCTTAACCTAAGTGACTCCATTTTGGGCCTGTGGTTTTCATTTTAACAATATACAGAGAGCACATCCATGAGCCCTGGCCTGTTGTTCAGTGGTGGGTTTGACTAACCCATAATTCTCATTGGAGGAAGCGCCTGGGCAGTTTTCTTAGGGCTGCACAAATAACAAGCTATTTTCTTACCTGCCTTGACCATGGCCAGGGGTCCTGTGTAGTGTTTTTTCTTTTCTTGAGGGAATCTAGAGGAAAGAAATTCTGGAGGCGCTGGTCTGGCTCAGTCGATAGAACATGTGACTCTTTTTTTTTTTTTTAGATTTTATTTATTTATTTGTCAGACAAAGAGAGAGAGCATGAGCACAAGCAGGGAGAGCAGCAGGCAGAAGGGGAAGCAGGCTCCCTGCTAAGCAAGGAGCCCCATGCGGGGCTCCATCCCAGGACCCCGGGATCGTAACCTGAGCTGAAGGCAGAGGCTTAACCAGCTGAGCCACCCAGGAGTCCTGAACATGTGACTCTTGATCTCGGGTTGTGAGTTCGAGCCCCACGTTGGGGGCAGAGTTTGCTTTAAAAAAAAAAGATAAAGAAATTCTGTATGTAATGCTATGAAAATACCTCCAACAGTGAAGAGAATAGCGTAATGTATGCTAGTGCTGTGCACAAAGGGATGAACAGAAAACAGACTCGTATTTGCTCGGCTGGCTCTGGAAGGCATTCACAAGCAGAAACTGTGGCTTCTGCTGGGATGGGGTGGAGGGAGGGCCTGCTTGGATAGGGGAAGCGGTGGGAGCCAGGCCTGCTTTGTATAACTTTTTATAGTTTTTGATTTTGCAATCTTTGTACATGGATTCCTATTCAAAATTAAAGTATGGAACATGTAAAAATGGGAAATTTTAGGGTTTTGGTATTCTCTGACTAATCACAATTTCAGTCATAAAGACCAGCACTATGCTGTGATGGACAGACTCTGCCTTTTTTTTTTTTTTTTTTTTTTGAGGGAGGGGCAGAGGGAGAGAGAGAGAGAGAATCTTAAGCAGGCCGCCCACCCACATGCTTCTCTCGTCACAAAGATATCTGGGCAGACCCCAGCCTTTGTGGGATTTGGGGGATGCAGGCATTATGGGATGTTTGTGGTTCTTGGGAGTCAAATCCGCTCACTTGCCTGAGGATCTGACTTCCCTGCGCCTCCCTCCTTGTCACTTGAGCTTTTAGGGGTGGAGAGCTAGTCACTCTGGCTTTCGTCTAGAGACTTCGGATGAGAAGCCCTTCCGCAAAATGTACTGAATAAATTAGAACACAGACTTCCATTATTCCTTCTTGAAATGGGGCCTCTGTCTGTCTGCGAGGAGGTCAGGAGAATGGAAATCCAAACACAGGATTAGAAATCCTAACATTAATGCAATTTTCATTTGATATCGGCTCACTCCATTGTCTCTGAGACGCTATTAAAAATGCATGCAGGATGTGCGTGAGATAAAACATATCAAAATTCAAATTGATTCCAATTTCCATTGATACTCACTGCTCTGACCCTTTGGCTTCTAGCAGCTTTAGCCATCTGGGGCCCAGCCCAGAGCACGCGGGTGAGGAAAAAGATCCCCTGAGCAGAGAGGAGAGCTGCCATAAAGCACGAGAAGCTCAGTTCAAAGGAGGGTCTTTCCAATCCTCACTCAGAGCCTGTACAATCAGTAAATTATTTCATATTAATAATAATAGCTTTCCCTTATTGGGCACTTGCTATGTGCCAGGTTATATGCTTTATATAGAATAATTAGTTAATCCTCACTACCCAATGAGGTAAATTGCTATTATTGTTCCCATTTTATGGATGAAGATACTGAGAGAGGTTAAGTGACTTGCGTGAGGACATATAGCCAGTGAGTGACAGAACAGGACTTTGAAGCCAAGCAGCCTGGCTCCCAGGCCTAACTTTTCAACCACCTCTCCCAACTTCCCGGCTGAGTGTGTGTTTGCGTGTGTTCGTGC